ATTTTCCTGTGTTATCTGAGTGGCTCCTAATTCAAGCACAGGTGTTCATGGCAGAGGCAGGCAGAGGGAGATTAGACACCAGGAGGAGAAAGCAATGTGACCACGGATGGAAGGTGACTTCCTCCTGGCTGTGACATTGGGGGAAGAAGTCATGGGAGCAACGAATGAACCTCTAGAAGCTGAAAAATTAAATATAAACCGTCCTTACCAGGTCTGTTCCATTTGGGCTGATGTAAAAGTTCCATGTCTTGGGTGCATTATAAACAGCAAACATTCATTTCCCACAGTTCTGCGGGTGGGAATCCAATCTCCAGGCCCAGTATGGCCACCACTGGTGAACCCGTTGCCTGGCTCACATCCGGTAGCTTCATGCTGTGTCCTCACAGGGTGGGAGGGACACGCAAGCTCTCTGGGGCTCCTGAGAGATGCTCTGAACCTTTCCTGAGGGAGGTGCTCTGATGACCGAGCCCCTCACAAGACCCCACCTGCTAACACAGCCCTCCTTGAGGGCTACGATTTCAACACACAAATGTGGGGGAACACAAGTTTTCAGAGCACAGCCGTTGGTCAGACCCTCTGGGGTGTGTGTGGTCCTGTCAACACCGTGATGTTGTCCAGTGAACCTGACCACATGCTCTGAGCCCCAGACTGTGAGGGGATCAATGTGAGGAGATCTGAACCCCAAGTGTGTGGTGATTTGATGCAGTTGTCCTGGGAAAGTAACACAGGCTGGACGTGAGTCTCACATCATCAGCTTCTCCCCATGCTGCTCCCTGTTGTGTGAGGGCCCCCAGTGCTCCCCAGGGACAGGGACACCCACAGGCTGGGGTCTGAGGGGAGGAGCCTCTTCAGGAAGTCAACCCTGCAGGAGGGTCTGAGGGGACGGTGACCTGACGTAGACTGTGCTTGAACCTGGCACACCTGTCACCCATGATGTTGCCACTATGTGTCGAGATGGTCCTCCCAGGTGTCACGTGTGTGTTGCTTGACCACAGTGGGAAGTCGAAATTCATAATTCATTTCTGTATTCTCTTTTTCCCAAGCACAGTTCCATTATTCAGAAATATTGAAAACTGAGAGAACTTTCTAGAGAGACTCTCAAATCCAATCCCAGAATCCACCTCCAACCAAGATTTCACAGATGAGACCTGAACTAACCTTCCTCATTCAGAGAACACAGAGACTCCAAGTGTGCCCTCTGCAGGGACAATGACACGTGATGGGGTCTGTTCAGGAAACATTTTTCCTGATAGCTCCTTGCAGGACGTTTGGACACTGGAAACCTTTCCCTGAATGACTGATGTGCCCGTGACAGCCTCACTCCTCGTCTCAGGTCCTGACTCTGTGTGAGGAAGTCAGGAGACTCATCGTCCCTGTCACCTCCTCAGCCCCGCACAGCTGTCCCCTCCCTCAGGGTTTCTGACACTCTCAGGATGTGGCTC